CCCTACAGGTAACCTCAGAAACAAAAAAAAACGTTCAATACATTCTTGATTCTGAGAATATAAGAATACAAATCTGATATTCCAGCATAATACTTCAGTATAAATTTATTTTGTAAATCTTGTGGCTCTTGGGGCTACTGCTGGCTCTACAGCAAATGTCAACCTGATCTGTCTATTTAACAGTTGTTAAACAGAAGAAAAGCCAGTAATTAAAAAAACTAAAATGTTATTAAAAAGCAAAGCACACAGGACCAACTGACTGGCTCTAAGAGCAAACCGAATTTGCGTAGCAAAGGAGGAGGCTCCTTGAGTATCCCACTGCACCAGGACAGGGGGAGGAGGTGAACGTGCTTTCAGGCAGCTGAAGATTGACCTGGAGATTCCATCCCAGCTTAACTTGTCAGCATGTAAAGGGTTAGTGCTCTACTTTCTAGATGTCCTACTTGAAATTTTATTTCTTATTTGAAAATAGACAAAAAGCATTAAGGTGTAACCTGGAGTCGCAGTGACCACAGCACGTATCACCAGCAGAAACGGGACTGCCCAGCCTCACCGCCTGTTAGACACTTTCCTGTAGCGAGCCCTTACAGGAGAATGGAGATATGCCTGTTGCCAACAAGAAACATTCACATCTGCAGGAACTATTCTAGGTCATTTTCTGTAGCTTTAAATAACCTCCTCCTGAGCTTCCTCCTGTCCCTTTCTGTTCTGTTTCCACCCAGGTCTTCTCTGCCGTGGCGGCTGATGCCTATCTAGCCAGACCAAACAATTCCCTTTGGGGCAGCTGGGCTGAGCTCTGCCCTTGTCTGGCACGCGTCCTCTCCCCAGGTCCTTTTCTGTTTTTATCTATACTCTGTTACTGGTTTTTTCATTCCCCCTTAACTGAAGTCCAATTTATACTTTGCTGCTGCTGTCCCTCCTACTATACACACATCCTAAATGTAAAAGCACTGGCAGTTCTGAATAAAAGCACCAATACTGCATGTGGATGTCCTTAACCTCTCATTTATTCTCAAAAATGTCTGAATTGTTTATAGTGAAACATGCCAAAAAAACCCTGGTTGAAAGTACAAATGCCGGCATGGAACGCCAAAGCCAGAAGAGGTAAATAGCCCCCAAATCGCAAGTAACTGAGAGTAACTTTGTAATGAGATGCTGAGCAGTCCTAATTTCTGTAAGAATAGCTTCTGACCCTAACTACAGTCAGATCATGCTTCTAAACCAGTTGGTTTCAGGTCCTAAAGAAAAACTAATTACATAAATAAGACACACACTGCAATACATGGAATTTGCCTATTTAGTAAAAAAAAAAGCAATTCAAGTAGATCAAAGGAAACAGAAAATAGGACTTTGCATTGCTGTGTGAGAGGACCATTTAAAGTAGCTGGCGTAAATGTAAAACGATTCTTACAGTAAATATAAATTAGTTCAGAAACTAGGAAAATACCCGGTCCTTGTATTTCTGAACGTCTTGGTTCCTTCCCCATTTCCCCTCAAGTTTTTAAGACTGGCTTTCAGACCAGATGTTTTGTCAAGACTTGTGATCTTGTTTTCAGCACAACTTCAGAGATTTCTGAGGTTACAAGTGCCATAGTTGAGATTAAAACGCAAAATGATGGTTTAGCAGACAAGAAAAATGTCTGCTTTTCCACTATTCTATATACAAATGTCACTGACTGTCACTGCGAGAGAAACCCACTGAATTAAGTGCTGCCACTCTGGGCTGTAGGTCTTTGCAACGGTGTAAATAACTTCCACCGTCACCGGGCACCAGCTGTTAACGAGGTTTAACACATCCAGCACTACTAATGGATTTGGTAGACAGAAAACAAGGCAACGCAGTATATTTAAAATACACAGCTACCAAATTACAGCCGGGGGGCTGCTGATTCTTAGTAACATGACTGGCAAGGACGACAGTAAACCTTCTTCAGGTGTAAAGGTACTTATGAGAAAATCAGCCTCGAGCCTTTTTCAAAGGATGTGTGTGTTCATGTTCGTATGTACAGACGCACACAGGTAACCTCGGCATCTGTTCAGAAACACGCTGGATCCTCCCGGTGAGCTGTGAGCATCAGAGGTTTGATTCTGTAACGCACTCAGCACGCTCAGCTCCTAACAAGGCTCACTAGGTATTGGGATCAGCCTGACTGACTCCACTGTACCCATTATTATTTTGATAAAATGACCTATTGACTCGCATACCACAATCGACATCCACACAGAAAAACTGAGTTAGGGATTACATCACAGACATGCTGAAGACCACAGGAAACAGAACATTTCAGCATCGGAGAACATCATTCCGAGATTACGCTCTGGGAATTATTAACATCTCTCTCTGCAGTCTTCTCATTACTCCGTGCCTTTTCACAGTACTTTCTCACAGCATATATTGCATGACAAACGGTATCTATGAACAAAAGAAGAGAAGATGCCTACACACCTTGATGTGATCCATCATAAGCTGTTTCTGGGCATACAGAAGAGAACAGTCTGGACACTTGAAAACAGACACCTTCTGGTTTTCAATGTGCTGATCAAAGTGGCGATAGAGCAAAGGTTGCAGAGTAAACACAGTGTCACACATAGAGCATTTATATATTACTCTAAAAACAGAAGTACAATAAACAACGTCAGTCATGTTGATGATCTGTTTGCAAGAATCATGATGTTAACTTTTTGCTCAGCAGAGATAAGATCTGACATGCGTAAGCAATCATTTTACACTGCCTGAAAAAAGTTAAAATTAAAATAATTCAAAACGTCCTTCAATTTTAAAATATGTGAGCAAGAGAAAGAACAGAAAAATAGAAAACAATCATTAAAAAGTGCAAACAAGAAGCCAGAAAACAAGAGCATATGGCAGTTACGTATATAACACCAACGTCTGCTTAGGATACTCTGAGAGTTACATGTCTTCAGTTTCTGAGCTCGCATTGTGACTAAACGACAACATCCCTGCTTCAGGCTGCAAAGGCAATATGTTTTAAGGGGGTGATTGATTCTGTCATCATGGGTAATATACTTCAAGATAAATTTATTTTTGGCGATGCATATGGCTTTGAACCTCCTGAATGCCAAGCCTGGACTCTGTTAATGCTCTGAAGCTGCAACTTCACAGGATGGCATTTCCCTCTTCTGCAGCTACGGGCCGTTAGGAATCCCCCTCTGGAGGCGATGCAGAGACCCCACCAGAACCACAGCTTCCTCTCTCAGACCATGTGCAGCTTCTGAAACGAGCAGCTACATCTCCCAGCCTGACAGGCAGCGTTCTACTCAAAATGGAAACACAAGCTATGTTTCAGTGGCTGTGTGACTGGTGAAGCAATGCATCTCCGAAAATAATCTCAAAAGTGCTTAAGAAATAGAAATACTAATTAACAGAGAACTAGGTAAGTACTGGGCACTGCAAGCATAGTCCCTGAAAATGAATATGATAGCCAAAATGCTGTATCACAAAATCCCAAGAACATTCTGAAACACCCTGAAAATGGCTGTATTTTCAGCAGATCCTTGCCAAGGGTCTGTCCAACAGAAAACCACAGGGAAAAAGGAAACAATCCTCTGATCTCAGTGCTGCTACAACTACTACATAACAACAGTTTGAAGCTTGTTTCATTTTGCTGATGATTTTATAATGAAAAACATAGTTTAACTTGCATGCTAGGTAATTATTTACTTGATACTTTGCTTGTTGTTTTTGCTTATCTGTATGTCTGACGGTATTAAGAATGATTTCCCTGGCAACTAAAGGTAAGTAACAAGGTTAGCCATTCAAACAGCAACCCTTTAATGGATCTGTTTACAAATAGTAGATAATTATATTATTTCAAAAGGATCACATTTTTTAACTTGGAAAATGAATGAAAGGAAATGACATGTGAAATAAAAGTAACAAAGAAATTTGCCTTAGATCACCAGATGAGAGAGAAATCTAATCCACTAGCCATCGGTAGAGGAGGTACTTCAGGAAAAGCTCAGCTAAAATAAAAGAAACCCAGCGCCAGGTGCTCGGTACAAGGGCAGGCGCTTCCTCTGTGAAAGCACTCTTCCTGATCCCGCCGTCAGATGCTGAACCTTCACACAAGTGTTCTGAGTCCTTTCTACATCCCTCTAAGCAATTGCCGTCACTAGCACACTGCTCGAGAGCTCTGAAGGTCACCCTGCGCTGTGCTGCGAGGTGACAAGAACAGGGACATTGCTTCAACGATGCAAACTGTTCACCGAGTTCAAATATGTGAAATACTGAAAAACAGCACACTTAACCATATTAACTGTGACAAATATTATTTTTGTGGTATGTCACGCGGTCCCAGTTTCTCACGCGTACGAAGATAAATTTACTATTTGCAGAGCGTCCTCTGATGACCTACGTACTACTGTACAGCCTTCTGTGGTGAGCCTTCTGCAGGGTTCGACACACTGCACAGGCACTCAGAGCGTACACCTGCCAGCTTCGCCTGGTGAGCACCGACCCCCTCCCCGTCCTCTCACCTCCCACAGAAGCTTCTCAAACATTACTCAAAACAAGTATTTCCGTTTCTCACATTATTACCGACCTGTACCCCTTCAGAATCCTAACTTGGATAATTCCTGTATGAAAGGTGTTAAAGAGCTTGCCAGAAATAGGAAATTCTTCTTGATATTAACTGGTAAGAAAGAAATCCCAGGTTCCTAAAATGCAGTCTCACCTCCTGGACCTCACACAAACATAAACCCACACGTCTTACTAACGGTATTAAATGAGATCGTACAAGACTGCTTCTGGGGAAAAAAGTCACTGGGTCAGCACCCCAGCAGGTCAGCTGAAATGAGCACCGACAGACAGACAGAGCACAGGAATCTTCTCCAGGCACCGTGCTATTACACACACGCTGTGGGGTGCACTGTTTAAGCTCCAAGGGGTAGAAAGAGCCAAAGAATTCACTGTGCAAGGGATCATTTCTGCAGCACACATCGCTACGGAGCATCTCAGTACTCTCCGCTGTCTTGGTCCCATCTCAGCAGAACAGGAGATCATTTAAAGCAGTGATTTTACTGTCACCCTCTTCACTCCAAGAAAAAAAACAGAATTTCCTCAAAAAAGTACTTGCTGCAGTTCTGTAGTGAATCTTATGATGTCACGAGCTGGTACTACACACATTCCCTAATCCTGGGGCACCAAACGTTCTCCTGCTGTCCCTTGCATCCTGTCTCCTGCAACAATGTCCTACATCTCCATCAGCGGCTTTGTCCAAAAAGCCCAGTTACAAACTAAGCAGACAAACAAGGCGAGGCACAAGACTGTCTCCAGCCCTGTCCCTGGCAGGGCGATTTCCACCCTTCTGGTTCACTGCTCGCGTACCACCGCTGGCATCCAGAATCCCAGCATTTTGGTCCCTGCTGCCGAGCAGCCGATCCCATGGCTAAGTGCTCAAGAGAGATGATTAAAATTACATTGTTCCAGGTTAGGAAGATGTAAATAGAGGCTGGCAGAATTAAAAATAATTCTCTGATTATTTCATGATGTATATTTCTATTAGAACCATATCCTGCAAATAAAAATTAGGCGAAATTATAAAACCTGCTTTATCATCTGTGGTGGAACTGGCCAGTGATCTCAGCTGGAATGAGTTCAGGTATGTAGTACATAAAGTTATCACTGCAGGATTACATAATTTAATTGAACAAACTATGATCTATGATATGCTTCAGATTCTCACTGTATCTGCAACAAGGAGCAGAAGACCACAGAACGGCTGCGGTCGGAAGGGAGCTGCTGAGGGCACCTAGTCCAGCCCTGCTCGGGGTCAGCCAGCACAGGCTGCCCAGGACCACGTCCCGGAGCCCGGTAGGTTCCCAACGTCTCCACAGCCTCTGGGCAACCTATTCCCATGTTGGACCACCCTCACAGCAAAAGAGTGAGTTCTGGTGTCCAGCTGGAAATTCGTGTGTCTCAGTTTGTGCCCACTGCCTCATCCTGGCTCATCTGCCGCAAAAAAATACGACATCTTTCTGAATTTATCACATATAAGAATTGTATTGTTCTGAAAACACTAAGAGCTGAACATACGTATCTTCTGTGTAAGCTAAAAGACTTCACTCTGTTTTCACAGAAGCGTATGAACTATTGGATAGAGATCCAAATTTCAGGCAGGTCTCTGGGAGGACTGTACCCAGCAGCACAAGTTGTGACTACACGCACTGTGAGTATTGCTGTCAGTCACATCAAAAGCACGATTTTCAATCCTAAACACACGCAACTGAGTATGCTGGCTTGTTTCACAATTGAAGTAGTCAGTCTTTAACATGCAACAGCTTAAAACCCTGTCCACGGCTCAAAGGCGGTGATGCTGAGTCAGGACGTAGTTCACCACCACTGCAATTCACCAAGACCCCTGAGCAAGGCGGGCAGTCCCGCTGCATCACACCGCCGCAGGGGTCACTGCTCCTGCCCCGCAGCGCACGCCAGAACAGGGAACGAGCACTTCTTCACTTCCCAAAAATCCAGCTAACAAATTCTCCTGTTATCTTCAAATAAACACAGATGTTATCTCACGGGAAAATACTTTCATATCACATGAAATCTGTTCAGTGTTTTGAGAACTTCTGCACCCAAGTGTGGTGCTTCTCATTCCCATTTTTTTCTCTAAAAGAAGGGTACTTGTGGGTACTTGCACTTTGTACCAATAGTACAGTCTATATCCATTCTCTGGCTTGATAAACAAGAATTTCTCCCAATATCTAAAAAGAGATCTGCCATGAAAATTATCTTAGTGTCAGTTTACTCAAAAAATAAAATCACATATAAGCTTTGGTTTCCCATAAAAACCATATAGCATCTTAGGTCTGCTACAGGAGAGAGCTTCACAAAGTTGAAAGACAAGACAGCCATCCATTTCCCTATATTGAAATAATCTCATTTCATCCTACTGAGAATCATTCCACATAAACTTCATTTTTTGTACACGAAATAGTTGACTGCATCTGTCTGGGAACAGCCATTTGTAGTGTAACTGTCAATCGCACGGTTCCCGTAACTGCCAGAGGCATGTGGCCACCTACCCGGCACACCCACTCCCCGCAAACAAAGCAGCGTGAATCAGTGCAGCGTCCCTGGGACCGGCCTGGCCTCAGCCCACAGACAGGACAGAAGCAAGAAATCCTGCCCAGCCACCTCGACGTGCTGACGCGCGGGGCCATGTTTTTGGCTGCGCCCCTGTGGTGCCCAGGGGAACCCAAGAAGCTGGGCTCCATGCCCACTCAGGGAACATCTGCCAACCTGGCAAGGTCTAAGACTCACAGTCAAGAGTCAGACACATTTTGTGGATTCAGTGAAGAAAAGCTGGGTGTCTTCTCCCTCCAGGCAGCTCAGGGGCCCTCACCACACTGCTCCAGCACTTAAGTGGCAGCTACAAGGAGGACGGAGGGTCTCTCTTCAGAAGGAGCCACATGGAGAAGACAAGAGGCAATGGGTATGAGTGGCATCAGGAGAGGTTTCATCTTGACACAAGAAAGGAATTTTCTACAGTGAGAACAATCATTCACTGTAACAACCTCTCCAGGGACGTGGTGGTGTCCCCATCGCTGGAGGTTTTCAAGATGCGGTTGGACAGGGTGCGGCATCATCTCATCTCAGCTCCCTTTCCCTCCAAAGGCTGGACCCGATGAGCATCCAAGGTCCCTTCCAACCTGGGCTGTTCTGTGAGTCTAATACAGAACATTACAGCAGTTAAACCAAAATCTGAGCAGAGTCAAAAACACCTGATGTCCATTTGACCAAGATATGGGAGAAACATCCTCAGAAACCAACTCATTTAAACAATAAACACATTTTCTTCTCAAATTGCTACCGAGTAGCAGAAATACATGTAGGTAATCCTCAGGAAAACCACCGGTCCTGAGAGCTTGAAACAGCCCTTTCCAAACGGTGAAGCAGCAGTCAATGGAAGCAGTCAGCGCAAGCACCTACGGATGCTTGGGAAATGGAAGCAGAGAACTCTGAACACTGGGAAGACTGGGAAGATCCTACTAGTCACCCTGCATGCATTTAAGGCAGCATCTCGATTAAAACTGGCAAATTTAAATAGAAGACCACTTCTTAAGAGGAGCACTCACCTATGAATTCTATGACTTATTACAATACGATAGTACTTCATAGAATTTTTAGTCTTTTTATAATCAAAATAAACTCATAAAAGAATACAATTATACGCACATCTATATGGAAAGAAAACTAATGCAAAATACTGAATTTACAAAGTTGACCAGTTCAGCGGATCCAAGGACAATTCGATAAATCTTCTGCACTTCTCATATGTGAAGTATCTTGCACAAATGCTGATCTTAATATTTCAGTTTTCTCTAATGAAAATTATGGGAATCTGAAACAAGTTTTAGAATAAATGTTGGTGTTCCAAAGCCTCTCACGAAGATCCCATCCTGAATTAGAACAAGGTCTCATTTGTCACTGGGTGGAAATGTCTTAGTTTGGTATCAGACACGGGAAGTTTGCTGCCATTTTGCTCTAATGTAGGTTTAAACACCCTAAAGAATAAATCTCCTGTTAATACATTAGAGGAGAAACAGTGATGAACCAAATTCTTCTGCAATCTGACTATTACATTACACGGTGCTTTGTTTCTCTCATCTGCCTTCTATTTTCCTGGGCGTGCGAGCTGTTAAAATGCACTAGTGTGCTCCGCACGCTCCAGACCAACAGCACGGAGTTAAACGCTCGAGTATTGACTCCCAACACTGCCCTCCCACCAACAGAGCAGACAGAGGACAGAAGGAACGGGTCTCAGCGAGCAGGCGTCAGGCTGAGACTGATGCGAGGTGAAGGGGGATGTTCACATGCAGCGGCACCTGCGGCTCCCGCCGGCTTCAGCAGGGGCCCTGAACCTTCAACATCTTCACAACGAAGACCCTGAGGCCGAGTCCCTGATTGTGCCCCCGTTCCCGTCTCCAGCAAGCCACTGTGTCTGTGCACAGCCTTCCCAGCTACAGAGCAGAGTCTGTCCTGCCTGACTCCAGAAACACAAGATGGTGTGCTGGACAAAAGCGAAGGCAAACAGCTCTGTTTTGATGTGGAGAGGCAAGGCTGGGAGAGGTTTAGAGGCTGGCACCTCTCACGTCCTAACACGCCACAACTGCTCTCCTTGAGACATGACCATCTCAGGGAAGCAAAAACCTAGCTCACCACTGCCAAAAGCTGCGGCTTCCATGAAGAAAAGCTATGAGACAGAAAGAGGAGAACAGATCCTGCAGGAAAAACATGTCCCGACAAACGGGCAGCTGCCTGACCAAAAGAGCGGGGCATCGCAGGCGGCTGTAGGCTGCAAAAACTGCCCGAGGTCAGCCCAGAGATGACAACTGCTGCTTCTGAAACCATCCCTCACAAGTACACATCCTGACCCCTGTGAACTGACGGCACTGAAAGAACCAATTTTCCAAATTCACCCAGATGACTATCTGTGAGCATGTAACACAGAAAAAAAAGTAAATCACCCTTCCCCACCTTCCCAACCAGATATTATGAAAATCCCTGCGTAAGCTCCAATGAGTCTTAGCAGTTCTTTTTGGAAACACATTATCTTAATTCACAGTAAAAACACAGATGACCTAAGCAGATTCAAAAATAAGGATGAGCAACACACTAGTTGCCAGTCTGAATAATTTCTGTAATTACTGCATCGCTTTCTTATAGCGCGCAGTGTTTAAAGAACTGCTATTGCTATGTTCATGGAAATTTAACCTTTGCTGAATAAATCACCAGCTAAAATCTCATGAAAACATTACACGAGCTCCACACATCACCAGCAGGACGACAAACTGTTGGTTGTACCGTATGCGACTGGTAAGATCACAAGCACAGGACAGAATGCAGTTTCACACGTTATTAAAATGCAGGCAAGTGCAGTAGAAGATTAATTTTGCTTACTTTGGTTCGCCTATCTTGACACCCGGGTGTTGCGTGTAGGCATGGGAGTGTGTGCTGGGAGCGGATTTAAATGCCATGGGACAGATAGGACACTTGTAAAAGACTTCACAGTGAGAACCTTGGATATGAGACTTGAGTGCCGCCACATCAGAGTACACAACATTGCAGTGCACGCAGCTGCAAGAGAGCGGAGAAGAGTCAGGTCAGCTGGGCCAAAGCAGCACTGAAAGAAATGGAATCAACACTGATTTTCAAGCAAGTGGAAGAGATAAACATATATACACAATCGGATAAAACTACGTTATTCTGTCAATTTAAACAACCCAGCGAGAATCAACAAAAACAGAGATTTGCACATTAGAAAGTAAGAAAAAATAAATTTCCCAAACTTAATTTGAAAATCTGAGAGATATGAAGTCAGAACATGTTTTTACGGCATTACAACAAAACAGGTAGAGGGTCGACAGAGGAGTATTCTATTGATTGTAAAAAGAATGCTTAAATCCTCTGCAAATTTGTAGAGAGATTTTACAAAAAGCATTTTTATCACATGCAGTGAATTGTATAAGGTGCGCCACAGCAATTTAGAAACTACCACCAAAAAGGGAAACCAGTAAGGAAAACATTTCTACCATTTCCCTTGTTTAGAGTTAACGAAGACACACTGGTAATGATTTTCTGCACATAATCAAATCAGCACTTGGATTTAAAAACAAACAAAAAAAAGAATAATTTAAACTGAGGACAACTAAACCGAATCTTTACAATCAGATCAATCTATCCAATTGGAATTCTGAAAATATTTTTCAAAAACATACTTCTGCTGTGTTGAAAATCTGTGACCTTTCCGCATCTATTCTAAAATGAAATGATTAAAAAATTGAATGTTAGTGCACAAGAACTTCTATACACAACAGTCCCTTTTAGTGCCACACATCTCCAGTACTAAATGTAAGTCCAAGAACAGACTGCAATAAGCAATTACAACAAATGAACAAATTTCTCATTGACCAGTATTTTGCAGTAAGATTAAAGTAATTTAAAAACAGAAGGCCTGTACCCTTCCAAAACTTTAATTTTGGCATGTATCATGGCAGTACGACTGTTGTCATGTAAAGGTCAAATCGTTTTTTGACCCTGTTTTAATGCCCCGACGATAGCAACAAAGCAGGAAAGAGTTACACACTGCATTCAGGAATCCCGTTTTTCTTTTAAAATGTATCACCTTTGAATTTTACAAAATGTCGTCCTTTCTTTTCTGAGCACCTGATCTACTACTATTAATCACGTTTATATTTATCTGGTCTCTGCTTACCAACGCATTTCCTAACATAAATGGTCCTTGTCTTTTTGGGGTCTGCTAAAATCTTCTCTGCTTATACAGAGATGCACATTTCTTCATGGCGACACAAAGCACGATCCTCCCCTGGACAGGTCCACTCCTCAGATGTCTCCAGAGGAGAGCAGGGTTGCATCTCTCTCCTCCGGTCCCATCCTCTCTGGACCTTATTCTCCAGTGATGCATCATCATAAACGATCCTCAGCATCCCCCACTCTGTATTGAACAGTTCTTAAGGCTGAAATTCTCAGCTGAGCTAGTTCAGACAGCTCTGATCGCTGAAACCAAACTGACCTCGCTGGCAGAGGGAAAGGCAGGACCAGGTACGCTGTTCCTCCAGCAAACGCACCGTGGCGACAGGAAGGTGCTGACATGAACGTTCCCAGGTACTGCTTTTCTCTGCCCAGGTATTTTTGTTTAGTCTCACCATTGACAGAAATTCTGACTCAGTGTGACACGAGGTGTTTACGATATATCTTGGAAAGTTTAGTATTTTAGTTCGGGTTCACAGTGAAGGGTTTTTGAGTCTTCTGGTGTTACTGGTGCAGGCCAGGAGCCCTTGAAGACGATTCCGTGTACAAAGAGACACAGACTAGAGGGAAGGAAGGTAGAGCGGAGGCAGCAGGTGTCAGCAATGCAGGACCAGACAGACTGCTGCCTGGGGGAAAAGAATAAAAGAGAAGAGCCCAAAGAAACACCAGGAGCTGAGCGTGGTGTCAGACTGCCACAGCAGCTGGCCTGATGCCATTCAGATGTGTTCTTCCCTGGGCAGGAGATCTCACAGACATCCCAGAAAACGAGCTCGCGGCACCTTGAGGGGGAGGAAGCTGCCTTCCGGTGAGACTTCAAATCCCCCTTCTCCTGTCAGACAGGATGAAGGGGAAGTGCTTCAGGAGTGCCGAGCAAAGCTCAGCTGTACAGGCTGCTCTTCAGATCTCTTGCTGTCTGCCTCCCTTCAGTTAAGAGTAAAATTCTAAGATAAAACAATTTTTCAAGCCTTTCAAAACTTAACATTTCCACGAAATGCCCCTGGTCCCCACTTTCTCAGTGAGCTGCCATTACAGGGAAACATGAGAATAAAAGGGAAACTGAAAAGTAACAGAGACCCACAACATCAGGCTGTTTTAGTGAGAAAGGTCATTTTCAAGTGATGAAAGCTGAGGAATCTTGACTTCCCACAGAAAAGAGAGCAACCAGACAGGTGCTGTATGCCCATCAGCATCCCAGTAATACATTCTGGCAGTAAATACTGAAAACGACATTTCTACCAGAGAGCACAAACAAAAATCCAACGTTTTGACAAACTCAAAAGGTTCTTTTAAGAACCTGAAATTCAGAAAACACATCTGGATTCTCTAGCCCTTATAAACTGTGAAGTCCTGAATCTGACATTTTATAGGTGGATGAGATCAGCTAATATTCTGATTTAACAGCACACAAAAGCGGATGCCCAGGACACAGCAGAACCCTAATGTGGCATTTATTCCAAAATGTGCAGCACTAACAGCATTGCTGCCAGGACAACCTTGAACCCATGAAGCTGTATTCTAGAAGCAATGCTATGAAAATGGAAAATTACTTTTAAAAGCATAAAGTATACATAAATTGACAAGAGAAGTAATTGTTATACTGACCGAAACCCAACTCTCCGGGTATAATGCAGGCAGTTCTTAGTGACATGAGTCTGGAAGTGGACAGATCTGCAGATTGCTCCACATTCGGGACACGTGTATGGAGATTTATGCTGATGAATTCTCTGGTGTGATGCAAAGCTGCACTGGTTAGGAAGCAGCATCTGGCAGATATTGCATGTCTTCTAAACGATAAACCAAAATAGATGAAACAAAAGGTTTGGTTCAGCTCTACACAAGGTCTGTGTCAATCACTGCAATACATCAAACAGAAGGTTACGCGTCTGACCATGGGAGTACACGTTGGCGTACATCAGTTTTCCTCGGGGCCCTCACAGGATCGCCTCAATCATGCAAGGGGCCTGGGTACCATGTCAGAACCAGCCCTCACAGTTACACCTCACTGCGCCACGTAAAGGAAAAAACCCAAACCCACCAAATACACTGCTTTCACTCTGTTTGATCCTTGCTCCTGGTGTGCAGAAAGTGCACCGATAATTTCAAAACACGTTTCTCAGGCTAGAATACATCATCTGCATAACAATATATTGTGCATCTGAGTAAGAACTAGAGATTATAAAATATTTACAAAGCTTTTCTTTGCAGTGCAATCTTTCTAACCTGCAGAAGTAACTCACTAATTAGTTTCTTGTATTTCGTTAGACAAAAATAATTTTAAAAAATCTTCAACTACACGCCAAATCAGAAACACAGAAATTCTTTGGGTGCTTTGTGCCATTTCTGGGATGAAATGCAACTGACACAACCCAGCTGCAAACAGGCATCCCTCTGGCTCACAGCTGCCTTCCATCACTGGAGGGCACAAAGAGCCAAACCATAACAGCATTCCAGAAAACGTTCCATTTATAATAATACATCTCTAAAGTCTCCGAGCAGATAGCTGACATCCTGCACGGAGCTGTGCTTCTGCTTAACTTGGATCACGGAAGCTGCTTCCCTGACTTCAGCGGAAACACTCAAGGTCTCAAAGTCCAGCACAAATAAAGTCCTTGCGGAACAGGACTCTCACTCATTTCATGAGACTTTGATTTGTAATGCCTTTCACATTATTATCATTATTATTTCTTATGACTTGGGACTTAGGAATCTCAGCAGTGACTTACGAAAATTTAAAAACAAAACCAAGACTCTCAGGACACGGGTATATTTCTGACATGAGACTGCGCATTTTGAGAGACGTTATGTGTCTTGCAGAGGTAGTGATGTGTACATTTTGCAAGAATACAGCATAAAACAAGATTTCCAGAGCTGCATTATAGATCATTTACTAACCTATGTATGAGGAAATCCTGAAATAAGCAGGAAATAATCCCCTTCCTCACGGTAGAGTAGTTTAATACTAAAAGACTGGTGTTCCACAAAAAGTCACCGCCTTCTTCCAATTCAGGGAACTCCCGTTTTGAATCTCTTAAAAAACAGTAAGATCCAGATCATGCAATAGCAGAATCAAAGTTACCATTGTGGAAGAAATAGTACAGTGTTGCAAAGAGCTTTCAAAGGAGTCTGACTTACGAGCCCTGGCAACTATGCCAGTAAAAAACTGATTTGTTCCCATTTAATCAACAGGAGACAGACACTAATGCCAAAGACAGAAGGAAAAAGCCTTTAGAGTCACTGCAAAAAAAGGATTTTTTTTTTTCAAAACAGAACACTGTTTAATATCAAGGTCTAAAGTAACTTCTTAACGGCCTTAGCATTTTCACAATATTACTGATATTAGAAGAACAAGTTTATTTTGTATTACAATCTGTACACTCCATTTTTATTCTTTTTCTAAAATAGCTTAATTTAAATGCTTTTTTTTTTTTTTTGGAGGGGGAGCACATGCAAATACTTTGATTCTTTTTTTAAAAACAGTAATTTTAAGTAGAAATGTTATCATGAGACATTTCGGATCAGACACTTGGGAGCAGGAAGTGTATTTTTATATGGTTCACTTTAACGTTTACTTTGTGAACACGGTGGCCTGATGTTTGAACAGTCTCCATTCAAACACAGCTCTCCAACAACCTGACGACAGCAAACTGGCAAAATGGAAAACGTTAAAATAGAGGCAGCTAAGCAAAGAGAAGGTACCATTGCTCAAATCCAGGTTCACTATCAGCACCACTGCCAGCCCAAAAGACCAGCAGGCAGCGCGGATACGTTTACCCCCTCGCAGGTGGCTTTGCCCGAGGTCAACTATCTGTGGGGTCTGAACTACCACCTGGAGTCGAGTCCTCGTGACACAGCGAGTCTGAAATTGTGTTCAGACACATCAACATTCCCTTTGAAATGCCAAATCTCTGTCCTCAACTGACCAAGCTGCTACGGCCAGAACCCCCGACTCATGCCCTCCGGCGCTGAGCAAGTCTGGGACATTCACCTCGCCTTCAGCTCGGGCTGAAAATCCTGACTGGCCATCGCTCTGCTTAAACCACGCCTGCCACTTCCACCTGGCTTCCCTGCCGTTCCTAGATCTCGTCTTTGCCATTCGTGTATTCATCAGCAATATAATACTGGAGAACCTGGAGTATTATTTGATTACGTAAGAACCCAGCAAAACAGAACTTCTTACTCCAACCACAGAAACGTGGGGTTTCCACCATCCCTCCAAAGCACTACGAAAGGACAGGGGGATGCCGTGCCACACCGCAGCCAGACAACGCTCCAACTCCGGCGACGCCTGTCTCCCTGCACGGCTCATCTTAACGCCAGGAACTCAGACTGACACAAAACGCCCATAAAGGCACTTGCTAAGGTCGCCAGTTTGCTGTTTTGATCAGTACAGTAAAATGTTTATTTGGAACTGGTTACAGAACCTCCTGTGAAATTCTGAAATGCAGCATGTTCGCTTACCATGTTATTTTGGGCTTAAGGTGCCGTTAACTTCCAGTTCTCTCATACCAACCCATACCAAAATAAAAAACTGTTTGTGAAAATCATCACCTGCCTGCATTTTAAGTCAACATTTCAGAAAAAAAGGGTTAGAAGAAAGAATGGTGGAAATGGTAAATAAGATACACAAGAACTATGAGCGCGAAGGGCAATGCGCTGCGTCGTTTCCATGGGTGCTATACACTTGTATCTGTACCTAAGACCAGCATTAACATTAATTAGCCCAGGTTTGCTACTTTTTTTTTTCCACCAGTAAGCAGATGAGGGTTTCATTCATCCAGGAAACCTTTCAGTGAGTGGTCCCATTCCCTTTAACAGGAATATTAATGGCAGTAAAATCTTTCAGAAAGGTGACAACTTAGAAGAATAAGTAACAGCTACTTATGGCTTAGACCCACTGAAAACACAAAACAGTACAATTTCCATTTCAAGAGCAGTTCGGTGGGCACTAGAAAGAATGGTAAGCTGCAATAACAACTTTTTTCCTATTATTTGTTTGCAAAATCCAAATTCTTATTTTTATTCTTCCTTCCTTCCAAAGTTAAAGTATCAATTTCATCTAGCTTTCCTGTCCCCCTCCCCCAGAATAACATCAGTTTTACAACAAAAAGCCAGAGCCAAGCACAGAGAGGGAAAACACAAGTCAGAGTATTTCTCGTCCATGCTTTTCAAGGGGTAACATGTAATGAAAAAGTACCAAAATGTTTATTAACAAATGCCTCTACAGAGTAAACACTACACTTGCAGCAATCCTTGGGACAAAAAATGGAGAAAAAGATAAGAAAAAGAAAGCAGGACGTACTGGTCTCACTAAAGCAACTGCTCAGTTAAACCGTTTCCAGGCTGGGCACTTCAGGATAGCTACAACTACAGTATTTTATAAAATGTAATATAAAAAACCAGCACAGAACTGAAAGCTGCTGCTTGACATATGAAAAGGACTAAGAAAAATATTTCATTTTTAAGAGGATATTTCAACAAAGAGTATTTAAAACTACGTTTAACAAGAGTGTTCTTTTAAAATGGAACAACATGAAAATAGCTGCTTTTCCTCCAGCGCTTTGCAGCGACAAGGCTTTTTTTTAAAAAACCAACCCCCTCAACAACCTGGAAATCCATGGCCTAGCAAGCAGGGATTTAGGCCTCGTTCACACATGGAGAGCAAGTTTCCATCAGGAGACACAGACCATGCCGAGGCAGCAGGCAGCGCCGAGCCCTCCTCCCTGAGCAGCAGCATCCGCGTGCCCACGCTCATCCTTCCACCTGGCCGCAGGGACACTGCCATCCTGGGGTGATCCCGGCTGCCCTCCCGCAGTCAACCACCAGGACCAATGGCATCTGACAGGACACACAACAGGGTAACAGTGCCAGGCAGAGGGAGCGGCAAAGGGTTTATCTACCTGCCCACACACAACAAAGGCCCCACAGAAAGCGAGGACATCCCTTTTTTTAATCGTTGTTCTCTATTGTTTTCGTTTTATCCTCACCTCGTCCTCCCAACCTGTTCTCCGTGTATTTGTCTGTCTCTCATTCACTCGCTTTATCTTGGTGCCTTCTTGTGATTTTTTAGTATCGGGAACAAGAGGGTTCTCACAAGGACTACGGGATCTTACCCTACCAAAGGATAACTAACGGGCCTATTGTGGAAAAAAAGATAACTCTAACGCCAACATGCACCAGCAAATGAAGCAGCTAAACAACAACTACTGAGTGTCAGCTCGAGAGCTGGTGCGGAACATTCTCAGGGTCAGGCACCGGGTAATGCTCACAACCGCAGCAAGACCTCAGGACGGAACGCACTCTGCTGACTTCGTTCTGACCAACAGCTCAAACAAACTCCCTTCAGGCAGGCACATCTGCAGCAGCTTAAACAGGACCTGACTCAAGTGGCACTCCACCATGCACCCAGGCAGCTTCAGCCCATGGCTGCTCGACAGTTAGTAAAGCAGGAGCAGAGGCAGAGCCACACGATCCACACAGCAAAGAGCATTTCCACACTCCAACCGCTCCACATCGCCCTCTGCACCGCGGGCGCAGCGGAGCTGTTCCACGGCCACAGAACAGGTCCTGAGTTTAGGAATTAGATTCTGACAGCAACATGTCTGTGCTGCTATGGCTAGTGCGTTCTTTCCTAACTGCAGGAGTTAAAAACCTTTATCCTGCGTATTGTGGTGCGATTCCCAGGAATATTTCTTGATCAGCCTGAGCACGTTTGCAGGTTTTCAGCTTCCCACGTAGCAAGAAGCTGCAACACCAAGCTCAGCTTAACGCTTAGAAACACACCAGAATCCCTTTTAATTGGCACGCCCCAACACAAATCCAACCGTATCGTTTAATTAACGATCTTAACTCTCACAGGATTATAAAATACATCGCACACTGATTAATATTCACTTTTATTGAATGACGTGTTTCTTTCAGATTACGCCATGTACATTAGTGAAGAATTTTTAAATGGTTTGTAAGTTTAACTCATTAGCAATCATAGGAGGAAAGGAAAACCAACATAAATAAACAAATGGTCACACAGCAAGAAATGCATGCACCACTTTTCACTTCCGTGTAAGAAATACCTGAAGAGAACAGCATGCATATCCTCTCAATAATCAGTGTGCCATTTATTCATTGCCTAGAGTCCCTGCAGATGAGAGGAATGCCTGGATCACTGACGGTGCTACAGGAAAATCATAAAAACTGAAGGCAAATGAAGAATCAACCACTTAAAACTATCACTCAGAGTGAACAGGCGGGCTGTTAATGAGGGTGCCAATTAAGTGGATTCCACAGGATACTCAAATTCCAAAGCACAGAAAGAATAATTAAAAACTGTTAGTAAAGACCATTGTTAATTCCAGTATTATCATGTTCGGATGTAAGAAAGCTAATGTTATATTTTAGTAAAAATACACAGTGCAAATTTCAGACTTTGGGGCCTAAAAAAAATCTAAGAAAACTTATTATTTAAAAAATGTGGACATTCACTACCTGCTTGCAAGATTTTTTTGTGGTTTTCATTTATACTTTTAATCATGGAGGTTCCGATAATTAACAGCTAAATGAAAGTAAAAACACATCCAAAGTCTCCTAGGCTTAGAGATGAAACATTGGAATTTAAACATATGATACTCTACTTGTCCACTTGTGTCTGCAGCCTGCTGGAAGTGAGTTGCAAGAGATGTCTCATCTTGGAAAACTTCATTACACTCCAAACACTTTAGACTATGTCTACAGAGTTTTGACGGATCTTCGTCTAGTGGCATAGCTGGAACGACGGGTGTGCTTGCTGGGGCCGAGATGACTGTCCCCGTTATGCCAGACTGTATCTTTGTTACCGCGTGCGTGCCAGCTCCCGCAGGGCTCTGAAGCATGGATGCAGCAGTATTGCTTGAAGGAGACGCTATCATTTGATCTGCTGGGACTGGTTTTAAAATCAGGTGTGAACACTGCATTACAACTCCTTTTTCCTTGTGTCCACGAGCGTGGGAAAGAAGACTGCATTTATTGTAGAAAACTAAGTTCTTTGTGCAGTGATTACACGTCACTTCGATTCGCACGCTCCTCCTGTCGTAATGCTGGGTCAGGCTCTTCTCGAGAGCAAACGAGTCACCGCACTCCAAACACTTGTAACCTCGCGTCGGTAACATTATTCCGGCGTTGGCAGGGGGACTGAGGTTTGGGATGTAAACTGGTACAGGATTGACACTACTTAGCACCTTATTGAACGCTTCCACTACGGAACTTTGTAGAGATGAAACCACCTGGACCCGAGACACTTTTTTAGAAGGCTGCGAGGCTGCTGCAGAGATTATTGCCTGCTTTATTTGTTGCTGAGGTTTCGTTAGCACTTGGCGGAGTTCGGAGGTGGTTTGAGCACCTTGAGGCAGAAGATTAAGGTTGGCAAGATGGACTGTCTTTGGCACAAGTTTAGCACTGGCGAGGCTCGATGCTGGCACCACAACAGTCTGCTGCTGTATGGCGTTGGCAGCTTTGATAATGGCGCTGCTGGCGCTCTGCACCGAAGCAGCAGAGATCACCGTGGCTTTCACTGTGGTATTGTTAGCGAGCTTCAGATTAATAACTTGTGAACCCGCTGTTTTAACTGCTGAGACAGGGAGAAAGGCAGTAGCCACAGGTTTGATAGTGACCTGCTTTGGTGCGAGTTCTGCAGATGCAACTGCATTGGTGACAACCGTGGACTGGAGAGGGGCTCTAGGAGGAGAGGAGAGAACAGCAGCAGAAGCTGGTGAGGACAGGAGAGATGTCACGGAGGTCACCATGGAAGCAGTCTGCTCCGCCTTTTTCCCAGAGTCCAAATCAACTTCTGGCAACACTCTAGTAACAGTTCTCTTGATCTCCCCAGAAGAAGTCTTGATGGTTTTAATGCGAACTTTAGGAATTGCTGGTGTTGACCCTGCAGGAGAAGACGGAGACCCTTTGCTACTGCTTTCACTCGACACACTTCTGGGACTATCAGGTGGCTTGACAGATGGCTTTTTAGCACCATCAATGAGACTCTGAGATTCAGGTGACTTTTCAACAGCCCGGGGACTTTCACTCGTCTCTTTTGGTAATGGAGAAGATTCCCCTGAATTAGGCTGTAAATCTTTACTGGTATCTGTAGCTGCCTTTTTAGCACTCAGTGCTGCAATTGCAGCAATGCACGAAGAAAGCTTTGCCGATGACTTTGCTTTGGACTGTGAAATGCTGGTAAGGTTTGTTTCATTTTTTTCAGTACTCAGTTTTCCATCAAGTACCCTGCTGTCAAGAAGCTTCTCAGAATTGTCTTTCAGCAATTTGTCCTCTGTTTTTCGAGCTTTAAAAGGCTCATAGACACTTGAATTCATAGAGTTTGTCTCTGTCTCTCGTTTAGCAACTTTATTTTTATCTATACTACTTGAAACCGGGATTGCAGATTTAATCAAGTTCTCCCCTCCAAGTGCCTTTTTTTTCCTGCTGAGATACAGATCCTGCCAAGACGTTTGCTCTGAAATTTGCACGCATCTCCTCTTTATCCGGAGGGTCATCCACCTCAATTTTCTCATCATCATCAAATTCTTCAGCACTTGATATTGGGCTAAACTGGTTGAAAGCTGAATCCTTCAGTGTAGCCTCAGAAGCTGACCCGTCATCTTTAAGTGACTTCCCTTCATCTTTGCTGTAACTATCAAGAGCTGACGACGTTAGAAAGCCGTTGTGCAAGCCATTGCCTGTGGAATGGTGGCCATCCTTGTCCACTCCTTCAGAAGAATCGATAGTACGCACATTTTTCACAATGACACTCACACCAACGTCAGATGATGATGGGGCATGAGAATCTTCATCTGTGTGGGCATTTTGTTTTATGTGACTTTCATGGTCATCGTGTCCAGATTCAATAGCTGCTTTCGGATCAACCATGTCTGGTATGTCAAAGGCTGCGAGAAGGTCATCAAAATCCGGGGTCTTCATATCCCCCATGGTCATGTATTTGATTGTAAGGAAATCTGTAAAATAAGCAGAAAGTCATCACCTCAGCATTTCAAGCTCTAATAGCACAGGCTTACACAAAATAAGCATATGTTCACATATGCCACGCAAAGAGGTGTTCTTTCACTTCTGAAGCAGTGTTTTCAGAAACTGCACATAGTGTTCCCGTGCAAGTGCACTGTCAAATGATTACACCAAGAGCCACAGTAATCCATCAGCCTCACAGACTGTACCCTAGTCATTTCATTCTAGGCACAAATTTCTCTCCAGCGACTTTCTTCCTGTCCCCTCTCCTACCCTCCCTCCTGCCCTCTCCCACACAGACACTCCGGTACCTAGACTTTCACGAAAGCGACATGAGGCCCTTTCAGTTCCCTCCTCTAGACTTCCTTTGACATTTCCATTACCAACCTGATGAGCCTTCTTGAAGATGCCAACAAAAGTGTTTCTACTAACAGCTTAAGACTGCTGCACAGTTTTCTATAAATTAAATAGCTTTATAAGGGATTTCTTTCCCCTCACAGATTTTCCAGCTCCTGTTTTTTGTTCACCACTGGCCTCTGCTGTTGGGCTTTTTTTCTTCCAATTCCCAAACCAAACAGGTGACTGAAAACTGTAACTTCAAAAATGCTCTGTAAAAAGAAAAACTAACTTAGAATTAGTTTTCGATTTCAATCCCACTGCGACATTTGCCTTTTTCCACTGACAATTCAATAACATGCAGAGGTGTGCAGGGGAATCACTTGTAGAGATCTATAAAAATCAGTTAAAGAAAGCACAGACATTTTTTCATTCTCTTTCAGCACCACGTCCAGGTGTGATTTGTATTGCTGTGACCGAGCTCTTTTTTTACGTAGTTCCATGGTTCAGTAATTATCAGGCCAAAGTCAGTATTGTTAGAAAGTGCCCATTTAGGAAGCATCCTGCCTGTCCTCCCGCCTCTGTACTGGCACCAAAGGAGTGGAAAACATTCCTACTGCACAGCTCCATGCTCAGCTAACACAGGCCACCAGAGAACAGGGCTCTCCAAGCTCCTCTGCTGGCTCAGATAAGCAAGGAGCTACATGTCCCAGGGCAGCAGGTTTGCTGGCATCCCCCAACCGCAGCAGCTCGCCTCCTCCTCCGCTCAGCTCCTTATCTGGAGCTCTGGAGAGAAGCTACTTGCTGACTGTTGAATTCAGCTGTAACAATGCTAAGAAAAATGAATAAAAATGCATACATGCTTAAACACGTATTTTTATGCATATCCTTATCAACACGGGCAGCACCCCAACTGCTCCTCACAAAGATTACTAAAATGGCAAAATCCCTTTGCTTGACAAAAACCTCTAAATCCTGTGTATTCATCAACACTGGCTACCTGGAAGCCATTGTGGACGCAAAGAAAGGCAACCGAGGAAAATTTCTCAAGGATACTAAGACATCTCATGTAATACCTTCAAACAAATATATAACAGTTCTGAATCCGCTTAATGGGTTTATTGCTTTGTCTAACCTATTAACTCCTTCTCATTACACCAAATCCTTCTGCAGAGCTGAACTCAGCATGGGATTCTCTACAAAATAAGAGTATACCATTGCAAGTGATTAATTTACTCTCTTAATTAACTCATAATTCCCTTACTTAATGGGCAATATATAGTAGCCTATCACACTAAAAGCTCATTTTTAAGAATCAGTATATGAACCATGTTTCCACCAAAACTGCCAGGAATCTGAAGCCGCATTCCTCCCTTTTCCTCTCTGCAAACCTTTCAATAGGTCCCTCCCGTAAGGATAAAACCCCGCCTTCTCTCCAAGATCAAAATCAACCCACACCTTGGCTGCCAGACGAGCTGTTGGTCTGTTCCTTCTCTGAGCCAACATAACGCCTGTAAACACTTCAGAACAGGAAATGAGGCAAGATCCTGATTCCCTAGGAAATCGTGATTTTCCAGGAACTGGAATTTCTTTGAGAACTGTTTCTGAAGTGCTGAGAGCAAAGTTTGTCTCCAAAGAGACACACAAAGGTGTAAAAGCTGAGCATCGGAGGGTTGCCACTAAGATCATCTTCAGAACTGAACTGAGAAACAGTTCACCAGCTGTGTAATCAAGAACACATTCCTCAGACTAAACAAACAAAAATATATTTAAAGCAACAACCTGCAAGACCCCCACCTCCTCAAACATCTTTGTCTGAAATAGATTTTTTTCATTTTTAGTTTCTAAATAACAGAAACAAAACTCACCACAAAACAGGGGAATGCTAACTTGAAGCATGTATTATGAAGAACAATGGATTAACGATACAATGAATTAAACATCCTAATTTTGTGGGTACTCGTAAAAAGAGTCGGTTCTTAGATTTACTGTGTCCAAGGTACTACTTCGTTTTCAGGGGACAGTCTCCCTTCGTAACATCGCTTTTCCCTCCTGCAGACTGGTTCCATTTCCTGCCTCTCCACCTGGCTGGCTGCTGCTGTTTCCAGAAGAATGCCAGGAAAAGCCCATCACTTTTGACATAAAATTTGAAACCTTTAAGGTGCTTGAATTACTTCAGAAAAGTTATTAAAGAAAAATCAGTTTCTTTAAAAATTTGTTCATCACTTTGCTTACTGACTTTTCAATGACAAAAGAAAGTAAAAAGGAAAAAAATTCTGGATATGGCCAACAGGAATGACACAGATGGAGAGTCACCCAGCAGTGAGGTGCAATGTTCCTGGGGTCTGTTTTCTGGTGCCAGGTGACAGGACTCCTGCGAAGATGGCAGTGAGTCTGAAAAGAGCAGACTCTGAATAAACTGACTTCACAATTTGCATTAATCACTTTGGTGCCAGTGTCCACCCTGATGGGTGTATCAGTATCTTACTGACACGTGAGGTGCAAATGAAGTTCCGGAGGATAAACCAAGAGTGCGTTGTTTGTGTTCGTGCTTTGTTCGAAGCATGTGCGCAGGACTTTCTACATTCTTCTTTTCTTGGAAGTACATCTCCTGAAATACATGCTTCCTACGAACAGCATGAGGAAAACTGCACGGCTTTTAGCCAAAGGAAGACACCTGGACTGTTCCACTGTCTTACTTTCCCAGTTAGCCTTTTTACCCCAGTTCATCTGATAACACATTCCAGCGAAGCGCTCACTTGGGTAATTCCATGAAAACAAGAACCAGCCCGTGAGAACTCTCTGCTGAGTGTGGAAGAAGCAAGCAGGACAAGTCCATGAGAAACAGTTAAATTCTTGTGAACCTTTCAGGGCCTCTGTATCCTGGCTGTTAAAGCCTAAGGATGTGTTCAAAGATTTTAAAAGGCTGATCACCAGAAAAAGGGGAAAACATCTGCAAGACATAGCACATCTGGAAGCGTCTGCCCTATTATCAGGGATTGCAGAGGCTGTTTTGACATATTGCTTTCTTACAGCAACTATCTGTGTAGATGTGAGGAAGGCTCAAATCTGCAATGACATAAATACCAACCAAAGAAATATCAGGACTTAGAAGCAAATAGCTGCTTCTTAAGGATTAACAGAGGCAGTTCTGTTTTACTACATGGAATTTTTGTTGCTCCTCCTCAAGCCCAGTATCTATACCCGTTCCAGGTGCAGGAACTGAAGCCACATGAGGAAAACTAAACAAACCTACCCCTGCACATACTCTGCCAAGGCAGGGATGAGCAGAGAAATGCACAGAGTGAGGCATTTCTTCTCACTTTCTAAATATCCTTTATCTTGTAGCTTGGGCTTTAGGACAGCTGCAGACGGGGCACGGTATTCTCCCCAAGAATGACCAAGCTGCCTGTGAATTGCTGCTGAAATTAAAAGGTACTCTTTGGTGTAAAGCTAAGCAATTGTAAACACCCAAACTAGACTCATTTTGGGCAAGTTCAACAGCCTAATGAAGACAAGAAAGCACAATCATCTGGCACCTCCCATACAGGTCGTATCTCCAAACCACTCAAAGCTCCGATATTTTCTGTCAAGAACAACTTCAAGCTTTCCAGGCCTAGCAATGACAATCCTCCTGCCTTCCCACTGCTTTTCCAATTAATATTCTCTACGGATGAGGTCTCCGAACTATCATTTCTGGATCAGAAGCATGGTCCTTGCATGCTCAATTTTTATTCTTTTCATCATTAACTTTAAAGAACTGACCAACTGTTCCTCCTTGACGCTCACCCTCCTGCTCACCCAGATCCTCACTGCTCAGCCTCAAGCCTGGTGACTCCACGCAATTCTCTCACTGTCTGTACTAGTCTTGTCTTTTCTGCTGGATTAAGTTTAAATTCTTACCCTTTGCCTTCAAATCCCACATAACTGTCTGTACTTACGACATGTAACTCCATGCTCTTGTTCAAACAATTGCTCAACTCAAGCTTCCCTCAGCGGCAAGTCTGTTTATTATTTAAGGAAACAGGAAGAAACCCCAACTTTAATTTTCATCTACCCATGAAATACATGTTCTTGTGACTACACTCCCTTCCCTTCCCTAAACTCTTCCTACTGTTTTTTCCTCCATTTGTACTATGTACAGCTGTGGACTGTTCACTCTTTCGAGCAGAGACCTTTTCTTTTCCAGGTTCTTCAAAGAAAATCTGCGTTATTTCCAGTGCTGTGAAAACAAGAGCACTGAGACACCACTTTTCAGGGTCTAGCATATGGTCATTTCTTGATTGTGGAAGAATACTTCTGGTATAATCATATAAAATAATTATTCTGTTACACATTATTCCAGAACAAAATTCCAATGATCTGGTATAATTACTCCACTCCCAAACATGAGTAATGATGCCTAAATAATATTGTGCTCATTCTGGAACAAAATGCCTACACAGGGAATAATACCAGCCTAACCATCATAAAAGTGTTTGGGTTTTTTTAATTTCTGTATTGTTACGCCAAAGAATTTCATCAGGTAGATAAGACTTGAGTGATTCAATCAGAATTACAGTAAAATATATCCTAACATTGGGCACGCATCAGCCTTATACACAGATCATGAGCAGTTCATTAGTTATTCAACATATATTACTAATTATGACTA